AGGATCCCTGGGGAGAGATGTCAGAAAGGGACAGCTGGTCTTCCTTGCTCCTGTGGCCTGGCCCCCTCTGAGGGGTCAGCAGGCAGGGGCTGGCTATCCAGCCAGGCTGGCCACCGTCAAGAGCTCCAGGCTTGACGTCAGTCCTGCTCATTGTTGTTGCTGGGGCTTGAGTCACTCCCTGTGACACCACTGGGGTCAGCTTTGGAGCGGCTGGGGTGGCCTTCAGGGCTGACTTCAGGGCTCAGCTCTCCCCTTGGGCACACCCCAGGATGAGGTAGGGCCATCCGAGGTCACATTCAGCAGGCAATGCCAGCCGCCTACTCCCAAGGTCTTGGGTTGGTCTTCAAGGTCCAGCCAGAGGCCTCTGCTGTAGATATGACAGAGAGAGATTCCTGCACAGTGGCTTGGCTGCCTGGCTGCTGGGGCTCTGGATGAGGTGTCGTTTTCCTCTATCCTCTTATTTTAGAATCCTATTTCTATTCCTACCCCTCAGCAAGACCTCTCCCCAGCCTTTCCCCCATCTCTCTTCTCTAGAAACCCTGCCCAGAATAAGCTTCTGTGGCTCTATTTCTTCCCTTCCCTGCCCATCTCCTCAGATGATTGTCCAGTGTCCCCTATGGCCATCTGGTTTCCTTCAAGTGCCCATCACTTACTGAAAAGTAGGGCTTAGGACCTTTCTTCAGTCTGAACATGTCACCAGACCACCAGCACCTCTCTGGGATGGCAGTAGTAACCTCCATTCTGATGTCCCCATAGAACCTGCTGCTGATGGGGCTGGGAAGGTGGCTCAGTGGTAGAGTGCTTGCCTTGCATGCATGAGGCCCTGGGTTCAATTGCTCAGCACCACATAAGCAGAAAAAGCCAGAAGTGGCACTGTAGAGCACTAGCCTTGAGCTGAAGAGCTGAGGGACAGCACCCAGGCCCAGAGTTCAGGCCCAATAACCAACCAAAAAAAAAGAACCTGCTGCTGTTTCTTTCATGTCACTTGTTTGAGTTTCCTACCCAAGTGTCTCTCCTAGCTCATTTTCTCTGTAACACTCAAAGCTTCCAGAGGGCTAGAACTGTGGCTCATTCCACTTGGTATTACATGGGGTCTGATATGTAGACAGGTATGTGTGTGGTACAAGTGAGTGAATAACTGAATCTTGATTATTAGGGGTAAGGACATCAGATAGGAGAATTCATCCAGCGTAGTTCCATTTTTTTGAGTCAAGACACTCTTCTTTACAAAAGTGACTATTCAGGTAGGGGTGGCACCACAACTCTAAGTTTCAATAAGAGCTGTCCTGAAAGAAGTTGGAGAAATCCAGGTGCCAGTATACTCAGGAGACTGAGATCTGAGGACTGAGGTTTGCAGCCAGCCTGGGCAGACAAATGCCCAATTAACCAGGAAAAAAGCTGGAATTGAAAGCATGGCCCAGTGGTAGAGTACTGTCTGTGAATGGAAAAGCAGAACAGTAAAGACTGAGAGTACTGGTCCTTAAGTTCAAGCCCCAATACTAAAATGAAAACAAACCAAGTCAAAACCCTGACTGCTGGTGGCTCATGTGTGTAATCCTAGCTACTCAAGAGGCTAAGAATTGAGGAGCAGTTCAAAGCCAGTTCAAAGCCAGCCAGGGCAGGAAAGTCTGTGAGACTCATTCCAATTAATGGACAAAAAAAGCCAGAAGTAAAGGTGTAGCTCAAGGGGTAGAGTGCTATTCTTGAGTGGAAAAAGCCAACTAAGAACATGATTCCCTGAGTTCAAGCCCCAGGCCCTGAGACAGCAGAGAGGGAGATATTTATGAGGAATACATACATTATGGAGGCTGAGACGGCCCAAGCTATAATGTGATGTCAGCCACTAGTGAGCCAGCCTAGTGAAAAATGTAGTTCTAGTCTAAGTGCTGGCAGTCTTGAAACAGAACGAAAAGGAGACCAATGACCTAGACCTAAAATAGGCAGATAGGGGTCCCCCTTACTCAAAGGGAGAGTTGGGTTTTTTTTCTGATTGGATGAAGCCCACTCGTACTGGAGAGGACCATCTCCTTTACTCAGCCTACCAATTTCAAATGTTAATCTGTGCTTCACGAGGAACAGGCTCATGCCTGTAATCCTAGCTACTCAGGAGGCTGAGATCTGAGGATCGAGATTTGAGGTTCCTGGGCAGGAACATCTGTGAGACTCTTATCTTTAATTAACCACTAGAAAACCAGAAGTGGCTCTGTGGCTCAAGTGGTACAGCACTTGCCTTAAGCTGAAGAGCTCAGGGACAGTGCCCAGGTCCAGAGTTCAAGACTCATGACCAACAAAAAACAAACAAACAAACAACTGGTCATCACAGCTGAGTGTGGTGGCTCCAGCCTGTAATCCTCTTTGAGAGGCAGAGATCCAGGGGATCTTTGTTTAAAGCCAGACCAGGCCCCTCCCCCAAAGTTTGAAAGACTCCATATCAACTAATTACTAGGTGCAGTAGTGAACACCTAATCTCAGCTACAGTGGCTGGATGATGTAGTACTGTGTTTTGTCCAGTGACACAGGGAAGGACAAGTATGAGAATCACAACCCAAACTGGCCTGGGTATAGAAAGCAAGATGCCTTAGCTACTTAGGAGGCTGAGACCTAAAGAACTGTGGCTCAAAGCCAGCGGAGACAGAAAAGTCTAAGAGATTCCACCTCCAATTAATTAGCAAAATGCTGGACTAGAGGCATGATTCAGATGATAAGAGTGCCAGCCATGAGCAAGAAAGCTGTGTAAGAATGTCAGGTCCTAAATCCAAGCCCCAAATATTGGCAAACAAACAAACAAACAAAAGCAATGAGACATTACCTGGAAAATAGCCAAAGAAAAAGGGGGTTGGAGAGGTAGAGTGCTTTCCTAGTAAGTAGGAGATCCTGAATTCAAGCCCCAGTACCAGAAGAAAAAAAGCATCATAGCAAACCACTGCATATCGTGAAACTTTAGTTTTATTATCTGTAAATAAACTGGGGCTGTGGGGGTTGGATTATACCTACCTTGAAAAGAACAGTGAACTTGGCACAGTAGTGTCTTTTTGGTGATGACATGGTGACCACTAAAGTTCAATATCATCAAGATAGTGGTAATGAAGGGCTTGACCCTGGAGTTGTGTGTGTGTGTGTGTGTGTGTGTGTGTGTGTTAGAAGGAGGCCAGTCACTACTTAAATGCTTGAATGTATTGACAAGCTCTGGGGGTCAGGCACTGGTACCTCCTGCACACCAGGGTTGATTGATTCCCAATTACCCCCACCCCTACAAGTTCTCACCAGCCCTTCTCTCTCCTATATTTTCTCCTAATGGCCTGATTTGTAGCAGGCTCCAGAGGAGCTGGTCTGTAGGGCAGACAGGCACCTATACCTAGTAGGTGAGAAGAGTCATGGGGAAGAAGGAAAGAGACAGGGAGTAAAAAGATGGTGGGGTCAAGGCCAGCCAGCAAAGGTGGCTGTGTAGCTGGGTTTGAAAGTACAGGTGGGGGAGTGGGGCCTAATAGGTGAGGGATATGACAGTGGTCTTTTGGAGCCTGGTTATGACACTCAGTAGCCCATTATACCTGATGATCAAATCCCTTTGAGATTCCAGGACAGCCCTGGCAGAAGAGTGTACAATACTCCATTTCTAATTAGCCAGAGAAGAGCCAAGGTAGAGGTGTGGCCTTAACTGGTAGAGTGCTAGCTGTGAGGAAGTTTGCTGAGCAAGAGCAAGACACTGAGTTCAAGCCATTGTTTTGGCAACAAAACATAAACCTTATCCTTCATTCTAGACTGAATTCAGTCAAGACCTGTAGCTTGAACTGGCATGGTAGAAAAATGGCTACAAATCCAAGTGTTGGTGGGTGAAGTTGCTAGAGAAGTCAGATAGGGAACTTCTGTGGTGGTAAAGAACAGTGGATTTGAATCCCAGGTATTGCCATTTAATCGAGTGATCTTGAGCAAGTTACTTCTCCAAGCATAAATTTCTTACCTACCCAGTAGGATAGATACATATGCATGACTGTTTGGGGAGGCGGTGAGGAAAAGGAGCCACTTAATCCTCAAATAAACAACTCAAGAGTGCCCCCTGTTGGACGTGGGCACATTCCAGGCTCTGCAGGCTAACAAATAAATCGCTGTGGGCCCTGAGCTTACAAAAAACACATGGAAAAACAAAACAAAACAAAACATGCTCCAGTAAGTTACACAGCAGTAGAAACGCACTCACACTCATAAAACACACGGATAGGCCACGAAAGCCTTTTCTATGCACTATCCGTGTGACCTCCCCCAAAGCAGCTCCCTACTTGTTTATAAAGGAAATCAGAAACGAGGAGCGATGTCAGAGAAGCAACGACAGACTTACACACTTCACAAGAAGTGACACCACCGGATCGGTCCAGGTAGAGCATCCGTCAGGGCGGCTGCACGAAGATAAGCCTCCGAAAGGTGAAGCCCCTTTCGCCAGCATCTTTGTATGGGTCGAGGCACGCTTGGCCATCCACCCGGAGTCCGCAGCACGCGGGTATGCTCACGCTCATCTAGATGGTATGCCCCCCCGCCCCCCCGCATCTTGTGGGGATCGGATCGGTGGCGCCTCCGGGACTCTCAGTCCCGTCCGGGTGGGGAATCAATCTCCTCGGCAGGCGCAGGTTTGCCGTCGATGAGTCCTTTCCGCCGCAGGGGGCAGCGTAGCATCCTCCCAGCCTTTCCTTCCCTCCCGTCTCTATGGCGGAAGTGAACTGTACCAACCGAAACCACAACATTCTGGCTGGTGGGCGTGAATGGGTTCGCCCAGACGGAGGGAGGAATACTTCTTGCCATCACGGCTTACGACTCGAGAGAGAATCGAGAAAAAAGTAGCATCTAAGATAGAGAGAAGTAAACATTTGTGGGTGTGCGTTCATGTGCGCTTCCAGCAATGTGGGTAGCTGTGGTGCTGTCAAGGGCTCCATGAAGCCGGGTAGCCCTCCTCCCCCACGGGCACAGTTGGTATCTTCCAGCCCAAGGCGGTGCGAAGCTTCCGGCCTCCGAGCGGCTCTGGCTGTGGAGGGTCTGGCGCCTGCCGGGACGGTGTCTGCGGATCCGGGACTGGAGTTGGAGGAGGTAAGCGGCCATCCTGGCCGTCTGCCCTCTCCTGTGCGAGTGCGGACGCTCTCCGGGGCGCGGCCTGAACTCGGGAGTCCGGCGAGGTCCTTCCAGTCCGACCGTGCAGGTTCGCGGGCGGCGGCGGGGAACGCGGCCCTGGTGGGCGTGCACCCTGTGTGCAGCCCGCGTTCTCGGTGTGGAGCCCAGCAGCGTGTGTGTGTGTGTGTCCGGCTCTCGAGGGTCAGTATTCACGCGGAGTCTTGTCTGGGTGACCCGAACCCCAGTGACCGGGCTCTGGTGGGAAAGGGGTACCCTGGCTCCAGTCCGCCTCGGGGAGGCTCTTGGGAGGAAGGAGGACTCTTAGGAGATGAGATTCCCTGCGCACCGTGGGGACCCAACGCTATGCAGTTTCTGTTTGGAAGGAAGGTGGGCTGGGCTGGTCCGGACTGACTTTCTGGAGGGATGGGATCTGGAGGAGCCTGAGCTAGGGGCCTAAATGAGATATAAGGCCCTGGCCTTGTAGAGTGCTTGCCTTGCATGCATGAGGCCCTGGGTTCGATCCCTCAGCACCACATAAGCAGAAAAAGCCGGAAGTGTGATTCAAGTGGTAGAGGGTTAGCCTTGAGCTGAAGAGCTCAGGGACGGCGCCCAGGCCTAAAGCTCAGGCCCAACGACTGACAGCCTTCCCCTCCCCCCCCCCAAAAAAGATATAAGGTACTGTATGGAGGTTTTGGGGAGGGGGGACTCTGGAGGGTAAAGTGGAAGAAAGAACGAATTAGAGATGAGTCTCTGTGTGGGAAACTACAAGATGGAATAGAGGCAGAAATGGACAAGAGAGCCCATTTCATCTTCACCAAGACAAACAAATCTAGCAGACCCTGAGAGGACCAGAACTTTTGGTATCAGGGTATGCCTTATATTGGTGAATAGGTTAGAGTCCCTGCCCCCATAGAATTGTCTGCCCATTTCTGTCTGGAGAGACAATAATAACTTCTGGTAGGACAAGTGGGCAGAGCTAGCCTGATTTGTGAGCAGCCTGTGTCCAGTGTTGAGCTGTTTAAGAGGTGGGGGAGGAGATAAGTGGAAATCAAATTAGAAGAGAGCCACCCTGCCAGGGCCATGGAAAGATCTGAGTATGCATGTTTATTGGGACTGAGGACTTTTCACTTGTAGAAAGGGTCAGCAGATGACTCAGTGACAAGAACTGCTTCTAAAAAGTTTATTTGTGGAAAAGAGATCAGAGTTATTTTATATAGCTACACCAGAGGTCCGGAAAGTCCTTGAAACTCTTTATCTTCTCTAGTTAACCACCAGAAAAGCTGGAAATGGAGGTATGGCTCTAATGGTAGAGCTCCAGCCTTGAACAAAAACATTAAAGGACAACACTCAGGCTCCAAGTTCAAGCCTCATTACCCACACAAAAGAAAAAACAAAACAAAACCCTAAAACCAGCGATTTGAAGCATAAGATGTAGATTCCTTTAATAGAAGTAATAACTGAATGGAACTGTAAGGATGGAACAGCCTGTTGTAAGAGGTAGCTGAGAAGGTGGTAGATTGCTTGCCTTGCATGCCTGAGGCCCTGGGTTCGATTCCTCAGCACAACATAAGCAAAAAGAAAAAAGCCGGAAGCAGCGCTATGGCTTAAGTGGTAGATCACTAGCCTTGAGCTGAAAAGCTGAGAGACAGTGCCCAGGCTCAGAGGTCAGGCCCATGACTGGACCCCCCACCCCCCACAAAAAAAAAAAAAAAAGAGGTAGCGAATTTCCTGTCCTGGCTCTGTATGTTTCTTGTGGCTATTTCCCCCTGGTATAATAATGAATTATATCAGCTAAATGCTTAGTGAATATTTACTACTTCCAGGTACTGCTTCAAGTGGTTTACACACACTAACTCTTTTAATCCCAGAGACTAGTCTTTGAAGATAGCTATTATTATAGTCTTTTTTCCTTTCAGTGCTGAGAATTATATTGCACATATTAGGCAAGCCCTCTACCACTGAGCTATGTCTCTAACTCTACTGTCTCCTTATAGATGGGGAAAACCACACAGTTGTTACAGGAGAAGTGGCAGAGCTAGGATTCCAATCCAGATTGCCTGTCTTTTTTTTTTTTTTTGGTTGTGGGGCTTGAACTCTGGGCCTGGGCGCTGTCCCTGAGTTCTTCAGCTCAAGCCTAGTACCCTACCACTTGAGCCACAGTGCCACTTCCAGTTTTCTGGTGGTTAATTAGAGATAAGAGTCTCACAGACTTTCCTGCCTGGGTTGGCTTTGAACCTCAGTCCTCATTTCTTAGCCTCCTGAGTAGCTAGGACTACAGCTGTGAGCCACCGGCACTCAGCTAAGATTGCCTGTTGATATTCTTTTTATTTTTATTTTTTTGGGTCCGGTCGTGGGGCCTGAACTCTGGGCCTGGGTGCTGTCCCTCAGCTCTTCAGCTCAAGGCTAGCGCTCTACCTTGAGCCACAACGCCACTTCCGGCTTTTTTCTTTTTTCTTATGTGGTGCTGAGGAATTGAACCCAGGGCCTCTGGCACGCAAGGCAAGCACTCTACCACTGAGCCACCTTCCCAGCCCTAAGTTGATATTCTTATGGTATTTACATGCACTTATGGTGACTAGTCCTTACTACACTCTCAATTCATAGGTTTAGAACTGGTGAGTGATTTACTTGTTAGTCAGCTTTCTATTGCTGTGACAAAATACCAAGATAAACAATTTAAAAATAGAAATGATTTATCCTGGCTCATAGTTTCAGTCCATACTGGGCTAGCTTTGTTCCTTTTAGGCCTTTGTATGACAACATCATGGCTGAGAGCCTGTGGGGCAATGATATCTAGAAAGCAAAAAGATAAGAAAAAGAACCTTATTCCCAATGTCATCTTTAAGATGACCTAACTTCCTTCTACTAGGCCCCACTTGTTAAAAATTCCACCATTTCTCAGTAGCACCAAAAACACAACACAAGATCTTTGAGGAACATTTAAGATACAAACATTAGCATAGGGCAAGATGTAGGAGGGCCAGGTGAACCTGTAGTCCCAGCCTCTCAGGAAGCTGAGACAGGAAGATAGCTTGAGTCCAGGAATTATGTACCAGTCTGGGACTCTGTCTGAAAAAAACCAACCAAACAAAACATCCAAAAATGCAGTATACCCAGCATTGTTGACAGGAGAACCCTTCTCTTCACTGCCCTGCACCTAATGTACAGTTTCTTTTTTTTTTCTTTTTCTTTTTTTTTTGGTCGGTTGTAGGGCCTGAACTCTGGGTCTGGGCGCTGTCCCTCAGCTCTTCAGCTCCAGGCTAGTGCTCTACCACTTGAGCCACAGCACCACTTCTGGCTTTTTTCTGCTTATGTGGTACAGGGCCTCATGCATGTGAGGCAAATACTCTACCACCGAGCCACCTTCCCATTCCACCTAATGTACAGTTTCTATAACTGCTGTACTGACATCTAGCTGATCTCCAGCTGGCCTCCCTGCTTGTCTGCCCACCTGTCTGGATGGGCTTGGAAATATGAGATTCAGTGTGGATGTGTCTGTGGTGTGACATTCAAGTTTTAAAGCCCCGTTATCACCATAGCTTCCATTGGCTTTCAAAAGCATGCTGTGACCTCCCAAATAGAGTCATTCTTTGTTATTCACTTAGAGCTAAAGAACAAGAATTTTTGCATCATACTGGGGTTTGAACTCGCCTTGTGCTTGTTAGGCAGGCATTCTATCACTGAGCTATTCCTCCAACTTTTTTTTTTTTGCCAGTCCTGGGGCTTGAACTCAGAGCCTGGGCACTGTCTCTGAGCTTCTTTGGCTCAAGGCTAGTGCTCTACCACTTAAGCCACAGCGCCACTTCTGGCCTTTTCTGTTTGTGTGGTACTGAGAAATTGAACCCAGGGCTTCATGTATGCTAGGCAAGCACTCAACCACTAAACTACATTCCCAGCCCTCCTCTACCTCTTTTTTTGTACTGGTCATTTTTCTTTTCTTTCTTTTGACCAGTCACGGGGCTTGAACTCAGGGCTTGGGTGCTGAATCTGAGCTCTTTCACTCAAGGCTAGCACTCTACCCCTTGAGCTACAGTGCCACTTCCGGCTTTTTCTGTTTAATGGTAGTGAGGAATTGAACCCAGGGCTTCATGCATGCTAAGCCAACTTCCTAGCCCCTGCACTGGTCATTTTTAAGATAGTTTTGCTTCTTGTGTGGTTATGTGTCTGGGCCATAGATCCATCTATTTTAGACTTCCAATTATAGCTAACAGATGTGCCACCACATTCAGCTCTTGGTCAAGATGGAGACTTGAAAGTTTTTCTGCCTGGGCTGACTTTGAACTTCAGTTTTCCCAATCTCAGCTTTCCAAGTGGCATGAGCCACCAAAAGCCCAGCTCAGACTTAAGTTTTTTGTGTACATATTTAGTCTTGATTCAGGGATATATTGACTCTTTTTTTTTTTTTTTTTTGGGTCCGGTTGTGGGGCCTGAACTCTGGGCCTGGGCGCTGTCCCTCAGCTCTTCAGCTCAAGGCTGGCGCTCTACCACTTGAGCTATAGCACCACTTCCGGCTTTTTTCTTTTTGCTTATGTGGTGCTGAGGAATCGAACCCAGGGCCTCATGCATGCAAGGCAAGCGCTCTACCACTGAGCCACCTTCCCAGCCCGATATATTGACTCTTCATAGCCCTCTGAACAGCGTTGGGCAGGTGTTTGGACTGGTAACTTTGAAGCTCTGCCCCTTTGTGATCCTGAGAGTCTGTGGTTCTCAGATGGAATGTGATGCCAAAACAGAAAAGGGCCAATAGGGCAGAGGCTGAGTTGAACATACCAGACAGTTACTACAGATTAGATATTTGGAAGGGGTTATCATTCTGACACAATCTTCATTTGCAGGATAGTGTCTGGGTGAGGTGAAGCTCCCTGTCTTCTTGTCCGTGGTCCTGGTGTGGTTGCCAGCTGCAGGATGAACTGTCGCTCAGAGGTGCTGGAGGTGTCAGTGGAGGGGCGACAGGTGGAGGAGGCAATGCTTGCCGTGCTGCACACGGTGCTTCTTCATCGCAGCACGGGCAAGTTCCACTACAAGAAGGAAGGTACCTATTCCATTGGCACTGTGGGCACTCAGGATGTTGACTGTGACTTCATTGACTTCACCTATGTCCGTGTTTCCTCTGAGGAGCTAGACCGGGCCCTGCGCAAAGTTGTTGGGGAGTTCAAGGTAGGTATATGGCACAACTAATGGCAGGTGACTGCTAGCTTGCCTTCCCTGGGAGTGAGAGCTTCCCTCCTGGGAGTGAGAGTCAGGTCCTTTCTGTCTCTAAGGAATAGGCATGTTGAGAGCTCTGGTGGGGAGGGCTTGCATGTCTGGGTATAGTTGGGGCTGTGTGCTCCTACACGTACCAGGGAAGAAGGAAGAGCGGGAAGCAGTGTTGGCAGGCATGTCCCTTTGGGGTGGTGGTCATTGCCCCTGCAGTCTTAACTGGGGGAGGGCTTGCATGTCTGGGTATAGTTGGAGCCATGTGCTCCTACACGTACCCAGGGAAGATGGAAAAGTGGGAGGCAGTGTTGGCAGGCATGTCCCTTTGGGGTGCTGGTCATTGCCCCTGTGGTCTTAACTGTTTCTGGCTACACAGCTCCCTGTGATTGCTTCTCTGTTTTGTGTTCATTTCTTTTCTCACAAGTCTCAGCCTTTCCTTTTGAAACTTCCTCAGAGAGAGGAGTTCTTGGCT